ATCCTCATATCTCAGTCGTGCGAGTCCTGGAGTACGTGGCGGAGTGGGCAAGGCAGGAAGGTGCAGAGGTCGAGCCCCTCCTCCGCGCTGCATGGCTGGGCACGTCGCCTTGGCCATCTGTTTCTAGAACGAGAAGCCCCTGCGGCTCTCGCCGGCGCCAATGCCCAGCCCACGTGGGGCGGCCCAGGTGCTGTAACTAGAGCCGTGCACTGGGCAGCGTGAGCAACAGAAATCCAGTTCTCTCAGTCCAAGGTGGGGAGCGGGACATTGGAGCCAGCGCCCTCAGGGCTGGTGCAGGCGCCCTCTCCCCTGGTGTGCGGGGTGCCTTCTTACTGCGTCCTTACACGGTGGGGGTCACCACCGACCGCCTCTCCCCAGTCCCTTCTTACGTGTGCATGAACCTCATCGTGGGGACCTCATGACCTCTCCAAGGCCCCACCTCCAGAGGTCATCACACGGGGGTGGGGGAGCAGGACTCCAGTGCATTTAGGGGAGACATTTAGTGCCTCGCTGGGGGTCACCAGCAAACTTTGCCTGGCTTCCATGGGGAGGCACAGGGGGTCCCAGCTCCTCCTCTGCTGACTCCACCCTGCCTGGAGGCCTGTCCTCTGGCCTGGAGGTTTGTCTGTGAAGGAGCAGGACAGATAAGCCAGACAGAAGGGCACCTGGGAACGGCATTGAAGACGCTGGTTCCCGACCGCCTGGGAGCCAGTTCAGTGAGGCTGCAGCAGAGAGGGAACCTGGGAGGAGGGACAGGTATGGGCCAGGGCCAGGTCTGGGTGCTGGATTGCACCTGCAGATGCTGTGCGATTCAGCCTCTGCCCCTGGCCCTGAGGTGGGGCTGACCCCCAGGCAGGAGTTCCCGAGGGTATGCTGGGACAGAACTGGCCCAATAGTGAGCAAGGGCTTGGGGCGTTAAATCCAGACGGCAGGCTCCTCCCCCAAGGCTCACACCTTCCTAACCTTGGCTTCGGGAAGGTCCATCCTAGCCGCTCCTCAGAAGGTGGCGGAGTGTAGGAGGAGGCCTCGTCCTCCGTCATCTCTCCTTCCTCAAAACAAGGGAGGGACTATCCTTAAGGCAGGTTATCGCTCCCCCCCAGGGAAGAAGAGGCCCAGGGAGACCGCGACCTTGCCTGAGGCTCTGCATCAGAGCTGGGACAAGGGACACTCCTACAACCCCAGAGTCCTTTTCTGCTCCCTCGGCCCAACCGCCCCCTCGGCACCACCTGCTCCTCCTCCTCTGTCCCGCACAGGCCCCCAGCTGGCGTGGAACACGGCCATCTCCCTGGTGCTCTTCGTGTGGCTGTCTTCCGCCTTCTGGGCAGCTTTGCCCCTCCTGGGCTGGGGTCACTATGGCTACGAACCGCTGGGGACGTGCTGTACCCTGGACTACTCCAGAGGGGACAGGTGAGGCGGGAAGACGGTCCCTTCCTTGGGGAGGATGACCCTGTTCAAAATTCAAGTGGGAAATGCTGCCGTCTGCCAGTCCCAGCCCCTCCCACCTGCAGGTCGGCCTCTCAGGCTCTCGGCCATGCTGCCACCTCAGGCTGACAGTGGACCCGGGAAAGGCCCGTTCTGAAGACTGGCCAGGCCACGAGGAGGCGCAGCAAACTGGGGCCGACTTGAGCCTAAGAAGGGCTCCACACAGCTCGCTGCTGGCCTGGGACTGTGGCCGCCCAGGAGCCCCACCCACACTCTGCCCTCAGCAGTCCTGGCCCTGACCCCTCCATTTCCAGAGGGAGCCACGCCCTGGGGCCATAGATTCAGAGACCATTGAGGTCTTCATTGGAGGGGCCTCTCTGACCAGAGATCAGCCTTAGAATCGCTGAGCAGCTGCTGTGGGCCAGTCCCTGGAGGGCCAGGGCTGCATGCCTGGTGGTCCCTCCATCACGGACCCCATGTCTAGCACCTCCCGACTGTGGGGAGGCCCAGCTTGGGGAGATTCTGGGACTCCTTGGGAAGTGGGGTCCATGGGCACCAGCTCCTCTTGCAACCCCCAAAGCCGTGCTGAACTCATCTGCCTACCCCTACTGCCTTCCTCAGTGAACCACGTGCCCCGTGACCTGCGTCCCAGGGGAGAACCCACCCAGGGACACTGGGTCTGGTCCTGCTGTCCCTCCAGGGCACTTCCCAGCTGGGTCTGGTCCTAGCAGCCCTTCCCCCACCATAGTGGACAGCTTGAAAGTGACATGGTCTTCCTGTCATTAAATAGGGACCCACCCTGTCCCTGGTCAGCCCTCCCACCCACCATCATTCCCTGACTCCCAGGTTCGTCTGTGCCCCCCACCCCACTATTTCTTCGGTGACCTGTGTCCCATCTGTCACCCTCAGGCTGTTTCCAAATCCTTGTGCCCAAACACTCTGGAATGTTCTTTCCCTCGGTCCATGACATCTCTGCCATCTGGCAATCACATCTCCCAACTGAAGTGCCCATCTCCATGTTCCGGGAGCAGCAGGAGGCAGGGCCGAGCCCTCCCACTCAAAGGGACCTTGTCCTCACTCAGCTCCGGGTCCTGAAGGAAAGTTCCAGGAGGCCCCTGCTCTTGGCGGGCCCAGGAGTGACCACGCCTGGGGCCTGTCTAATGGGGGCAGGCCCACGTCTGACTGACTGGAGCAGACAGGGCCCTCCCTGGGAGCTGACCCCACACCTTGAACCCCTGCCTGCAGGAACTTCACCAGCTTCCTCTTCACCATGGCCTTCTTCAACTTCCTCATGCCCCTGTTCATCACTCTCACGTCCTACTGGCTCATGGAGGAGAAGCTCCGGAAGGGCGGCCGCCTCCAGGTGAGACCCACACCCAGATTGCAGCACCCTCCTGGCCCCTCAGAGACCCGGGGAACACCCACGCCGTGACAGCAACCTGGGATTGCCTGTGTTTTCAAGGGTTGGGAGAGTCCAGTTGGCACCAGCACAGGGTTTCAGGCTGGAAACACCCTGCCCTGCTCAGGTCACCAAGGCTGGGAGGGGGTCAGGACTGCCCCAACTTACCAGGCCTGGGCCTCCGAGGGCTCCCTGCTGGTCACCAGCAATGCCGACACTTAGCTCTTCCTGGGGACTTGAGTTTGCCTTTTTAATTGCCAGAGGGCACACGCACCCACCCGAGAGGAAGAAACAACACCCCCAGTGGCATCGTCACCCACAGCCCTTTCCCTCCGTTTCTCCATCCCGTCCGGATTCGGGGCACTTGTGCACATATGCATGCACACGCACACATGTGCCTGGCGTATTCTCAGGCCACTAGGGCCAGGACCGAACCTGCTGGCCCTGCGGGACCGGCTTTCTGTGCATAGCACTTAATCACCGTGCTATGGGCAGCCTTACACGCTGCTTTAAACCGCTTGGGCTGTTCGGTCTGGTCACAGGCTGTTACCCACAGCACAGAACCATGCCTAAAGCACACTCAGCCAGGAAAAACAGCGCTTCCCAACGAGCCCTCCTGCCGTCTCTGAAATCCTGCATTAATATTCCCTTGCATAATTTCCTTTTAATTCTGCCATCTGGACAAAACCAGCAGCTTTTTAAACCACATAAGCAAAAATACTTCTGTGCATTATATAATAATAACTTCTTACACTTCGGGGGAGAGGAAGTTTCCGGTCCTGTCACAGGTGGAAAGTCGAGGCCTGGAGGGGTCAGCTAGCCAGCTTGCCTAAGGCCACACAACTAGGCACAGGGAGTCCAATCCCAGTGCGGGCTGGGACTCCGTGATCCAAGCGGTCACAGTGCGCAGGAGAAGCGCTTCCTCTGTGGAGACACTTAATCTGCCACTTTGCTATTGTTCCTACGTCTGTAAATTGGACGAATCGATTTTAATTGGAGCCCCGTGTTCCCCTGAGGTGGCACCAGGAGAGCGAGGGTGGCCTGGGTGAACCCCGTCCTTTGGTCCCCCACTCCCGTTTGCTGCCCGGTGCCCCTGCCTGGTGTCTTTGGTGCTGCCCAAGCCCACTCCAGGCCAGGGTTGCTGCATTTACTGCAGGCTGTCAGCTAGGACATGGCTGCCCGTAGTTTCCTGGTGTTTGGTTTTTCCAGTGGACCTTAGACTGTGAGCTCTGGTGGCCACACCAGGTCACAGTGCACAGGGCGGCCCAGGGGCCCTGCTGCGGGCTGAGCAGGCCCAGAGGTGGCTCGGCCTCCTGTTGAGGGGCAGCTTCTTCAGCCTCTGTGTCCTTGCAGAGGCCCTCGGTCAGTGCAGACTGCACAAAGGTCAATTAGAGGGAAACGCTGTCTCTTTAAAGTCTAAAATTGAGAAAATAGGTCCTCTTTCAACTTAAATTGCCTTCTTTGTCAATGCGAGACCTGTCCGTGAGAAAACAGGCTCTAATCTTTGGCATCGGAATTTTCATATCCAAGCCTGGGCAGGGACACGGCAACTCCACCCTGGGATCAGGCCCGAGGCAGGACAGCGGCCACACGCCCTGGCCAGCCCTCTCCCTGGCAGTCTCCCAGTTGAGCCCAGAACAGCCAAGGCCTGCAGGTAGCTTCTGCAGCGGGTAGCAAGCTGGCCACCCGGACCTGTGGCTCAGCCTGGGCCCTGGGTGTGGCCACAGAGCCTAGAACTCTTTTTTTTTTTTTTTTTTTAAGGTTTTTGCCATAGGGTCCGTGTGCTCACTGGGGAGGGAGAGGGACACTGAGAGGGAAAGTGAGAAACACCCCCCCACACCAGTGGTTCAGTCCCTTCTCCACTCTCCACTGTGCTCCTGGGATTTTGGCTTGCACGCACACACATCCAGCATGAGTTTCAAGTCACCAGATCCAGGACTTGAACTGCAGTGGGCCCTGTGGGAGCCCAGGCCTTAACCACTACACCACCTGCTGGCCCCAGGGCTCCTCTGAAGAACTCAGACTGTGAGGAGCGCCTCACCCTGGGCAGTCCCTGCACAGGCCAGTGGGGTGTACCCAGACAGCGATGGGGGCAGTACTTAGATAACAGGCTTAGGTCGCAGGCCTGCACAGCCCAGGCCCTGTGGCCCCCAGCTCCGTGCTCAGTCCTCCGGAAGCCTGGCCCCTGCTGCCTGGCTCTGTGGGGCTCCGACCCGACCTCCTGGACCCCAGGGCTGCAGACCACCTGCCGGCACCCACACGCTGGCGGTGTCTCCCCAGGTGAACACCACTCTGCCCTCCCGGACGCTGCTGCTCGGCTGGGGCCCCTATGCCCTCCTGTACCTCTACGCGGCCTTCGCGGACGTGAGCGCCCTCTCCCCCAAGCTGCAGATGGTACGACGCGCAGCAGCCAAGCTCGAAGCCCTCTGTGCCTCCGCGCACCCTTCCCTCCCGACTTTCTGGCCTCCCTGTGGGTCTTCCTTCCGACCTGCCGGCCACCTCGCCCAGGCCAGCCAGGCCT